ACACATCAGAACCACCTGAGGAGTTTTAAAAAAACATACAGATGCCCAGGCTGTGGCTCCAACTTACTGAATTAGAATATCTGATTGGGTTACGGGTTATTAGATTTAAAAATGTTTGAGGATCAGTCAGTAAAACAAATACTGTATTCATGAAGTACCTACTGCTGGTGCACTGGGGCATAATGGTGAACAGTGAGATAGCAGTCCCTGCCCTGAGCAAGCGTGCGTAATAACCATGCATGGGTGTATACATGAACAACATTGCTATGGAAATGCTAAAGTTTTTTTCTTGTGCTAGTTCTTTTTTCTTTTTTTTCTTTTTTTAAGATAGGGTCTTGGTACGTTGCTCAGGCTGGAGTGCAGCCTCCAACTCCTAGATTCAAGCAATCCCCCCTGCCTCAGCCTCCCAAATAGCTGGAACTATAGGTGCGGACCACCATGCCTGGCTAAATTTTTTTTTTTTTTTAATTCAGTTCCTGCAAGACACTGGTTAATTTTTTTAAAAAGCTTTGTAGAAATGAAGTCTTTATATGCTGCCCAGGATGTTCTCAAACTCTTGGCCTCAAGGAATCCTTCTGCCTTGGCCTCCCAAAGTGCTGGGATTACAGATATGAGCCATTGGGCTTGGCCAGTTACTTTAATTGTTGTCAAAATTAGTTGACTCCTTCACCCAGAGACTGGTATCCTATTTGGGCAGATTACTTGGTGAGGAAAACTGGATGCAGACTCAAAATCAATTACTGTTGTGTGATTCAGTAAAAATGAGAGCCTACATTTATATACTTTTCTGATCCTCCTTCCAGTGAATTGGAGTGAATATAACATATTGAACTAGCTGCTCTTGGTAAACAGCTTGCATAGTTTTCAGGTTTATAATCGATATGTACAGCATAAGTAGTTAAGTGTAAATGCTGGTTGAGCCACTCACTACTTTGGGCAGGTTACCTAACCTTTCTGGAACACTGTTTCATCTGTAAAATGGGGATAATAATAGTAGTAGCTGCTTCATGAAATTGAGATAATTAATTGGAATATATATAAAGCTCTCTGTGCCTGGCATGCAATTATCATTCAGTTAAAAGTGAGCTGTTGCTATTTCTGCTTTCATACTGTTACTATAACTACAGCTGCTGCTGCTGTAATGACCTTGACTTTTTCCTCCAGGTAGCATCACTCTTAAGTATAGAAGACAACATATCCCATTGTCAGTTAAACCTTACAGACACTCTAGGAAATAGGTATTATTCTTGGCATTTTCTAAGTTGGAGGTCTTAAGCTTTATGGGTTAAGGTAGTTGCTTTGGGTTATAGAGGTGCTGGGGTAGTAGTTGAACTCAGTCTGTCTGATGTGAAAACCAATGGTCCTTTCCCTGCACCTCACTGACTTCTTATGTGTAAGGGATTAATGAGATTCATTCTGTAGCAGCAGACTGTCTGGATCTTGGGTAGCTTGCTGTCCAGGATTAATAAAATTTTCAGCCTTTGCATCATTCCATGCAACACATTGTACATGTGAATTAATTAAAACATAAATTCAAAATTTATTGGAGATACCAGTCCTTGAATTTGAATTACAGATATTTTATTTCTAGAATTACAAAATTTTATTTTCTGTTCTAGAATGCTCATAAAACTCTTCCCCTAACCCTTATTGTTCTCATAAAACCCATTTCAGGATATTACAAGTATGGCTTTTAAAACTGTAGCCCTCATCAGTTTAAGCCTAACTTTAAAATACAGACTTTTGCTATAGTTTTCCCCTAAAATCCTTCATATGTATGTTAATTTTTAAAAAATATATAAAATAGGAAATGTAATTTTGAGGCAGAGTATGCACATATTGTATCTGCAGTGAATTAGAAATAGAATGCTAATGACAGTCAGTGGTTGAGAGGCAAAATTATGGAAGCTTGGCTCTGAATTGAGGGATGGGCTGTGTCTGGGGAGCATGAAACAGCCCTGAGTGGTGGTTTCTGCGTTAAGGGAAGCAAGGCTTTCATACTTACCTGTAATAATTCTAGACAGCTAGTCCCTAACCCCTCAGATGGGTCTTTCTTGCTTTTGCATCCTTCATACCTGAGTGAATAAATCAGTAAAGAGCGTTTGTTAGACCACTTGTATTCTGTTAAGTTTTTTTTTTTTTTTTTGAGACAGAGTCTCACTCTGTTGCCTGGGCTACAGTGCCGTGGTGTCAGCCTAGCTAACAGCAACCTCAAACTCCTGAGCTCAGGCAATTCTACTGCCTCAGCCTCCCAAGTAGCTGGGACTACAGGCATGCACCACCATGCCTGGCTAATTTTTTTCTCTATATATTTTTAGTTAGCCAATTAATTTCTTTCCATTTTTAGTAGAGACAGGGTCTTGCTCTTACTCAGGCTGGTTTTGAACTCTTGACCTTGAGCGATCCTCCTGCCTCAGCCTCCCAGAGTGCTAGGATTACAGGTGTGAGCCACCGTGCTCAGCCTCTGTTATGTTTTCAAGGAATTATTTAGTATGGCAGTTTCCCCAGCTGGAAGAAGTACAACATTTAACATTATATCCCAATTTCCCTAACTATGCAGGGTATTTCAGTACATAGTTTCTGGCAAAGAAGTGGGGATGGCAAATGTAATGCATAATTAAAATAAATGATTTTGAAGAAAAGTTTCCTAGTTTCCTACTTGAATTATTATGATGGTTTTTGGTGGTGGCTGGAAATAGAGGTAGTTGGCGAGTTAGTTGAGGACTCTGGTTGGGAGAGCCCCTATACCAGACTAAAGAGCTTTTAGACCCACTCGTTAACAGAGGGAGCCGTTGAAAGTTTCAGTTGGCAGATGACTTAATGTTAAGTAGGATCATTTAAGGAAGTGTAGTCTATTCTCAGGTGATACTCAAACTTAGTTTGCATTTCTTGTTTTAAAGATGTGTTTCTGTAATCCTAGCACTTTGGGAGGCTGAGATGGGAGAAACACTTGAGTCCTTGAGTTCGTGACATCATCTCTACAAAAACAAGAAGAATTAGCCAGGTGTGGTGGCATGCACCTGAGGTCCTAGCTACTTGGGAGGCCGAGGCAGGAGGATCACTTGAGCCTGAGAGTTAGAGGTTGCAGTGAGCTATGATCATGCCACTGTACTCTAGCCTAGGGCACAGAGTAAGACCCTGTGGCTATTAAAAAAATCCATTACTGATTTTTTTTCCTCTAAAATCACTCAGTACCTATGTCCTTAGATCTCTCACAATCATATAACAGCACATAGGGGCTCATCCACTGAGCCAGAGAGAAGTCCCAGGGGAGGATTGCCTCTGTCAGTGTGTAAAGAAGTAAAATTTGCTTTTACCTTTCCTTTTTTGCACTTGCAAATCTCCCTTCATGTTGTCTGTCTAGACTTCCAGGGGCTTCTTGTTACTGTTTTTACTGCCAAAAAACTTTACCACCACCATGGGGCCTGCCCTTCCTGTCCTGCCCTCACATGACTGCCCATTCAGGAGCTACCCCCAATTCAAGATCTGCCTTATTGTTTGGTCCTTTTCTCCAGTTATAACCCATCTGTTTTCTTTCTCATTTCTCTGTACAACTCTCTGTGGACACCTGTGATTTAATAAAATTATCTTCTATTATATTACCTATTAAATATTTGAGTGATAGCCAACAAGGTGCTAAATTCCCTGAAGCTAGGGTCATGACTTCTCATATGTAGCAATAACTGCTACATTGTCTAGTCCAATTTAAAAGGAATATCTTTAAAACAGACATTTGGGCCATATGGAATAGGTGACCGCCCTCCTAACATTCCTGGAGAGTCATCCTGCTTTGGGGAAAGTGGAAAGCCTGGCATTATGCCCTGAGAGAACTTCATTCATTTTTAAAGATTATATATGAATAAGGGAAAGCAGAAATATCCTAATACTGCGCTCAACTAAGAGGATTAGTTATTTTAGTTTGGATTAATAATTGCCACAAGAAATCTGAGGATTTAAGAGTTTTGAAAATTGCCAAGGTCTATAGATGATTTTTCCAGACTGACGATTTTTCCTGTCATTTCACCACAATAGAGGAAACACTTGATAAAATTTTGTTTTTTAAACAACTCAGGTGTTTTTGTTTTTTTTTTTTTGGTGTGAAGTACTCCTTGCCTAATTTAAGTGTATTTCTTTCTATTTGATAATAACATTTTAGATATTCTTACCCTTTAGATAGTCATACCCTTATATAAAAATGAGAATTTTATATATAATCCGAAATCAAAGTGTGATTTTGAGCAAATGTCCTACTTGATCTATGCTGTATAGATTGCCCTGTGTGATTCGTATTACCTAGGAAAAGGAGATTGTTAAATTGAAATATTTACTTGATAATTTAAATATTGGTATAAAAAATGTCATAGGCTTGATCTTCAGATTTATGTTTTTATAAACTAAAACAATTAAACAAAGAAAAAAGACAAGCTTCACAAGAAAGACAATAAAATGAGTAAAGCACATGGCCCCGGGACAGAGGTTGAGTCCTGGCTTAAAGTCTCAGTGGTTGTGTGACATTGAACATGTTAGTTAACCTCGCTGAGCCTTATTTACTTGTCTTGATGTGAGACTTATGACAGTGCCAGGCTCATGGAGTTTTTGTGAGGATTAAATGAGATAATGTGTATAAAGTGCTTAGCTCAATAGTAAGTAGTGAAAAACTGTTAGCCCACTTCACTTTGCTATTGTTATTGTAGATGTCTTTGTAAAACGTAAACTGATAGCATTTCTGGAATTATTTCAATGCTGAAAGTGATGGCTATAAAAGGTACGTTAGATAATACTTGTTTCTGTAGCTGAGTCATATCAAAGAAACCAAGATTTTTAAAAACAGGTAATTGATGAAAATTAGCTTTATTCATAAAAGTGTCTTCCTAGCTAGATATTATAAACAAGGTAAGGAATTTAAAATAAAAATTTTGCCTTGAAGATGTCTCTGTAACTATTTTCAGCATGTACAATTTAAGTACTAGACATTCATGTAGTAATCTTTTGTTTTACAGGGTTACCTTGTTAGACATAATAATAACCAAGATAGTGGGTGATGAGCCTCTGACCAAGGATGACATTCCTGTGTTTCTGTGCCACGCCGAGTTGATGGCGAGCAGCTTTGTGGATCAGTGCAAGATTGTGCTCAAGCTGACCTCTGACCAGCATGCTGAGGATGAGGTAAGGAGACATTGCCTGAGTCCAGGTTAGGGAGAATAGGCAGATTTTTTAACTTGGCCAAGTCCTCTGAGAATTCTTTTCTAAAAGCTTTTAAAAATATTGCATAAGTAATGTAGCCTTATATTAGAATAATTAGAAAATTTAGATAAGGGAAAATAATGCCCTTATTCCCACTATCCAGAGTCAATGACTTCTTAAACAAATTCTAGTTAATATATTTTTTCAGGCAGATAACATCAAAATATGTGCATGCATACGTAGACATGTACATATATCATACATGCACATTTCATGTGGCGTCATTCTGTGCCATCTGTTTGTAAGTTTTTATTTTTTATTAATGTAAGCTCCATGAAGGCTGAAGTTTTTGCATGTTAAATGTTCAGAAGCTATATACATTGTAGACGCTTAGCAAATATTTACTGAATGAATAAATAGTGTATTATGAATGTCTTTTAAAAATGTCAGTGTAACATTCCAAGTAAAGAATTTACCATTTATTTGTCCAACTCCCTGTAGTTGGGACATTTAGGTGGTGGTTGTACTTATAAATAGTGCTATAATATATATTTTTATAGTTTCATCGTTACACATTTCCGTAGCTATCAACCCAGGACATAATCTTAGAAGTGTATTGCTGGGTATAAGTAAATCACATTTTTAAAGCCTTTGATACACATTTCCAAATTGCCTTCTAGAAAGTTTGTTTCTTCCATACATTATGGGAGATTCCTAATCATATATCATCCTGATTAACTACTCTCCCTAAGCCTAGGTCATTCAGTCTTGTCTCTTCTAAGGGTATGGAAGCTGGCTTGTAGTGATTTCATTGCCCTCCTCCTCACTTCAGAATTTCTTTCTATTTTTATCTATTCCTTCTTCTTTCCATCTGTCTTAAAGTTAGAATTATCCTTTCTCTGGATTACTACTCAGAAGTGAAAAGGAATGTACTTCTGATACAATAACAGGAGTGAATCTCAAAACTTCTGAGGGTGAGGAGTTAGACTAGTGAACATACCCTATGGTTTCTGTGAGATTCTGTAGCAGGCGTAGCTTACCGATAATGACAGAAAACAGATCAGATGTCACCGGGGGCTGGAAGTGAAGGAGTGGAATTAATTGCAGAGGGACACGAGGGCCCTTTCTGAGAATAGAAATGTTACACATAGCTGTATAACTCTGCACCGCTCTGTACTGTGCACTCAAGGTAGATGTATGTTACTGTGTGAAAATTATGCCTCAGTAAAGTTGATTTAACCACATTTTTTTAAAAAGATAAGAGGGTCCCGTGTATGCTGATAGGAATGACCAGGTGGAGAGGGAATAATGGATGGCAAATAGGTGAGACTAGGTGGGAGGGGCTGGAATCCAGAGTGCAGACTCGTCCACTGTCTGCGGATGGGGGCCAGGGGACATGGTGCTGAGCCGTGGTGTTTGCTGGAGAGTGATGTGTGAAATTGGTAACTTCTGTTGTAAATGCGGGTCATGATTGTGACTGCTTTACCATGAGAATGTATTTCCTTTTTTGTAAATATATATATATATATATATTTTTTTTTTTTTTTTGAGACAGAGTCTCGCTTTGTTGCCCAGGCTAGAGTGAGTGCTGTGGCATCAGACTGGCTCACAGCAACCTCAAACTCCTGGGCTCAAGGACTCCTTTTGCCTCAGCCTCCCAAGTAGCTAGTACTACAGGCATGTACCACCATGCCCAGCTAATTTTTTGTATATATATTAGTTGGCCAATTAATTTCTTTCTATTTATAGTAGAGATGGAGTCTCACTCTTGCTCAGGCTGGTTTCGAACTCCTGACCTCGAGCAGTCCGGCCGCCTCGGCCTCCCAGAGTGCTAGGATTACAGGCGTGAGCCACCGCGCCTGGCCGTGAATATATTTTTCTTTGAGCCCACTTTGCTATTGATTTTCTGTGCTGTGTCATATAGACCATGGTGAGTCTCACTGATCACACCAATGTTTCAGTTCTCATTTTCTGCATGGAAAAGGGAAAGGCTTGCCTTTCCTTTCTGGAGATAGATTTGCCTTTGCTTCCAGCAGGAGGAGCAGTGAGTTGTGCTTTAAAAAAAATTTTAAAAATTAATTATTTTGGAAACAGAGAAAAGCTTTAAACTTTTCATAGCTTTAAACTTTTTGAGGTACTTATGTTTAAACTATAAGTGATTTTAGTATTATAATAAATTACCTGGTATAACTTTTCATTTTAGGAAAATTTATATTTTTCCTTCAAACTTTTTTCTCTAAAGTGGGAAGAATTATTATATACTAATGGAATAGAAAATTGTAGGCAGTTTCCTTTTGAAAAGCCAAAGTAGTTCACTTTTGGAAATTTATTGTTCTAAGTACTCATGATTTATGCATATTAATGCATATATGTTATACTTTTTAAAAAAAAGAAGACCCCTTACATCAGTATTTAAATATCCCATGTACCCAGTGCTGTACTGGAACTGGTGTGTACCAACTTCTGAGAGTTGATAATTAAATATTTCGAAATTTGTGAGCTGGTTGTTAAACTGTTGGTAACTTCAAATCATCCATGGCAGAAGTAGTTATACCATGGAAATCAACAAGTGCTGCAAGTCAGGGCTTTCCTCTCCCTCCCCCCATCCAGTTGACTATCAAACCCCACTGTATTTATTCATTTGTGATCTTTTTAGGACAAGATATTTAATAAATTTCTCATAATGCTGTGAATGAAAAGTGAAAATGAAAAGTCTTATTTATAGCATTTTTTAATTCATGTAATTGATTAGCTTTAAAATCCTGAGGTTTCATACATGCGTTCCTTTATTAAATAGTCTTAGATTCTCATATTAATGTACTTATTCCTTTCTTTTGATATATTTTATATATTTGTTTCCAGTTTTTGATATATTTTGTTAGTTCTAGCATGTTTAAGAGTTAAGATTCAGTTTACTAAATCTTGTTCGGTTGTAGTGAGCCTTGCCTTTGCACTGAAAACTTTAAAAAGCATTTTTTTTTTTGGAGACAGAGTCTCAGTCTATTGCCTGGCTGGAGTGCAGTGGTGTCATCATAGCTCACAGCAACCTCAAACTCCTGGGCTCAAGCCATCCTATTGCCTCACCTTCCCAAGTAGCAGGGACTACAGCCACACACCACTGTGCCTGGCTAATTTTTCTGTATTTAGTAGAGATGCGATCTTGCTCTTGCTCAGGCTGGTCTCAAACTATACTGAGTTCAAGCTATCCTATCCTCCCACCTCGGCCTCACAGAGTGCTAGGATTACAGGCATGAGCCACCATGCCTGGCCCTTAAAAAGCATTTTTTAAAGCTTTATATTTTCTGATACCCATATATTATGAGAAGTGTCCTCAGGTTGTACGTTTTTCATTCTGTTTTGTTCCTTGCAACCCCATCTTAAGTAATACTGTGATATCCATTGTACAGTTAAGTGTTTAATACATATTTGTGGAATAAGTAAAAAGATGTTCTTTCATTCCACTTATTGATAAGGGCTTAAATTTTTGTACTATATGAATAATATTTGCTTTGTTGTAAGAAAGATTATTTAAGCTGACGTTAATGAAACATAAAGAAGTTTTCCCCATTTTTACTCAGCCCCCATCTTTTCTATACATCTATCTGCATATACTTCTTTTGTTTTCTTTCCTTAAGTTTTTTAATATAGAGACCTATATGTTTTTAGTTTCTATTTTTCAAAATATTATACACTTCAACTTACTTTTTTTCACTTATGATATAATTTGTACATCTTTTTACTTTAACACATCTAAATTAATGCTCTTTAATAGTTGAATAATATTTCACTATATAGATGTATCACAATTTTTTTGTTTCCTATAGATATTTTAGTTGCTTTCAGTTTTTTTTTAAACCTTCACAAATAATGCTATAGTGAACATCCTTGGACAAATTTTGGACAGGTATATCTGGGATTATAAATTCCTGGAAGTTGAATTTCTGAGTCAGAGAGTATGTGTATTTAAGATTTTTAGAGATATTTCCAAATGGCATACCAGGGCAGCAAAAGATCTATGGGTTGACCTTTGCAAATCTTATTTAGTTATTATTTCTAGTTAAGGTTTTTCGGCAACCAATATGCACATTTATTTTGCAAGTTTGTAAGTTAGGTTACCTCTTTTTTTTTTTTTTGAGACAAGGTTGCTCTCTATTGCCCAGGCTAGAGTGCAGTAGCGTCATCATAGCTCACTGTAGCTATGAACTCCTGGGCTCAGGTGATCCTCCTGCCTCAGCCTCCTGAGTAGGTGGGACTGCAGGTGGGTACCACCACACCTGGCTAATTTTTTAATTTTTTTATAAAGCAAGGGTCTCACTTTGGTGCTCAGTCTGTTCTTGAACTCCTGGCCCCAAGAGATCCTTGCTTCTTATCCTCCCAAAGTGCTAGGATTTCAGGTGTGAGCCACCCTGCCTAGCCTTAGGTTGCCTTTTTAATTGCATTTATTATAAACCATTGCAGAAAATTAGTCATAATTCTGTCATACAATAAACATTTTTAACATAAATATTTATTTGAATTTATTTATGGTATTCTTAGCCCTTTAGAAGTTTTTGGTTTATTTTTTATCTAGTTAGACTTAATAAATTTTATCCTTCTGGCTCCTAAATTTTGTTTACCTGTTTGGTAAACTTCTCCACTTAGATTGTGGAAATATGCATTCACATAGTCTAGTTGTTTCAGTACTTAGTCCACAGTTTTGTTAATCTAGAATTTATTTTCACATAAGGAGAGAGTTATGGATTCACATGAATTATTTATGTCTTGTGACTATTCAAGATTATGTAGTCTTTGATGTGAGACTGACCAGGTTTGGATTTTGATTTCTCCTATTACTAGTGTATGATCTTGTTACTTATCGTCTCTGTGCCTGTTTTCTTTACATGTAAAATGGATTTTATTTTAATATAGGCATTTGGTATGCTGACTGGTTCATAGCTAATGTTCCCTAAACGTTAATTATTGTATCAGTACCATTTAGTGAATAATAATAATCTCATCCTTTCCACTAATTTTAATGCCACCTATATCATTTACTAAATTCTTACATATATTTGGATTTATTTCTGGACTTTCATCTTTTACAGAGGGAACCAATAAGATGTTAACTGGAGAAAGGAGAATTCAAAGAAGCATGTGTTTATATGCAGTAGAGGAATGCTGAAATGAAAGGACAAATAAATGCCAAAGCTGGTCTGTGTTCAAGGCAATAATTAATTGTATTCCAGCCAGATACAACTAATTTTTATATTAATGGAAAAGAATTATTTTAATTAATATCAGTTTTCTATAACTTATAAAATTATAATATAGCTCTGTAGGGGACTGACATATATTTTCCTAGTTTAAGAATTAAAGTTAGTGAGTAATGTACGTGTTCTGCCCAGAGTATTTGAAAGTAATGTGGTCCGGACAAGGTCCTTGTGATAAACAAGGTTGTTGCCTAGAGGCATAACAGAGGACCTGAGTTGCAAGTAAGCAAGAGCTGCTCCGCCCCACGGCCTTGGGGTTCTGGAGGCTACATGATAAACACCCCATAAGATGGCTAGTTAGTCAGTGACGGGTAAGACCCCTCAAGGGAGGGGCGACCTAAGCCAGGCGCAGCTGCCGAGGTTCAGCCAAAGATCTTAGGGGTCACCCTAAGAGAAGCTGGGGATGAGAAATGCCCCCTGTGGCTTGCCTTGCCCATCCTTGCTAATCTCGGTCCGTGATCTATGCCTAGTGCCTAGAGCAACCACCTGGAAATTCTCAGTTGGGATATCTGCTTCCTTAAGGCTACACATTCCGGAATTTATGGCTATTGCTGCCACACCTGGGTGGTTATGTACAAGGAACTAACTTTAATCTTTTAGAGTATAAAAATAAAACTGACCCAGTGTATTACTACTCGAGTCAACTGTCTGTATGGGTGTCTGTGTTTTTCTTTGTGTTCTGCATTTGTGTTTTGTGTTCTGTGTTCATCCTCCATCCTGTAAACGGGCCACAACAAGCTCAAAGACACTAAAGGGTAGAGTTAACCAGTACAGGTGAGCTAAACAGAAGACTAATCCTTTTTTTCAAATTTATGCTCACTTCAAAATCTTTCACAATGTTCCTTTGATTTGCCTATGTCTTTTTTTTCTTTTTTTGCCCTAGGGCCTCATTTAATGAATATAGTTTTATAATACTTTTAAATATCTGAAAGGACATTTTACATATTACTCTTATCTTTTAAGAGAGTAATTTCCTGGCTATTCTTTCATTACTAATTTCCAGATTCTCATTCAAAATACTTTATTAATAAAAGATTTTTAATGATTAAAATTGGAGATGTGTTAGGTGGGGATAGATTAATTTTCTTTTGGGTTTATTTGAGTTAATATAATAGAATTTAGAAGTTAGAAGGAAACTTCCAGATGATCTCTTTCAGCCCTCTGATTTTATGTCTGTCTTTTTATTATGAAAAAATTCAAACATAGACTAAAGAGAAGAAAACATACTGAAACTCCATGTGCCGTTGCCTAGCGTCAGCAGTTACCAGCTCGTTACCATTCTCATTTCATCTATAGCTCCACTCATTCTCATGCCAGTTGCTGTGGCCTGAAACAGAGCTAAAACATGTTTCATCAGTTATTGTAAAAGATGAGTCTTCAGACACAAGTACAATTCACTGAGCACATCTAAAAAATCAACAATAAAATTTTATTTTATTTTATTTTTTTGAGACAGAGTCTCACTTTGTTGCCCAGGTTAGAGTGAGTGCCGTGGCATCAGCCTAGCTCACAGCAACCTCAATCTCCTGGGCTCAAGTGATCCTACTGCCTCAGCCTCCCGAGTAGCTGGGACTACAGGCATGTGCCACCATGCCCGGCTAATTTTTTGTATATATATTTTTAGTTGGTCAATTAATTTCTTTCTATTTTTAGTAGAGACGGGGTCTCACTCAGGCTGGTTTTGAGCTCCTGACCTCTAGTGATCCTCCCGCCTTGGCCTCCCAGAGTGCTAGGATTACAGGCGTGAGCCACTGTGCCCGGCCAACAATAAAATTTTAATATCAACTGAATAGTATTCCAATTTTCCTTCTTGTCTAATGATTTTTTCCAAGTTTATTTTGTTGAATCAGGATACAAATCAGGGCCACACCTTGCAATTAGCTGATATGTCTTCACTGTCCATTAATACACAGGTTTCCTTTTCTCCTCCTCCTCTTCTTTTTTCAACCCTGTTTGGTAGTTGTTGAAGAAACTGTGTTGTTTTTCCTGTAGAACTTTCTACTGTTCAGATTTTGATGAGTGTGACTCTATGGTGGCATTTAACGTATTCTTCTTTCCCTTGCATTTCTTCTGATTGATAATTAGTTCTAGAGACATATTTAGATTTGAGGTAGTTTTTTTGTTTATTTTTTTTTGAGTTTGTGTGTGTGTGTGTGTGCGTGTGCGTGCATACAGTAACGTCTCGTTGTTGGTGATAACTTACGTTCATCAAGGCACATGGTACTTGATTATCTCTATGTGATATTAGCTGTCACTAATGCTTACCTAGACCCATCAATTCTTTAGGGTTTGCAAAATGGATGTCTTTTAACTCTATCATTCATTTTTCATTTATTAGCAGGACTCTTTTTAAGATAATTTTTCCCTAATCTAAATTATTAGGTTATAGAAGGTACATTTGGATTGAGAAAGGCAGGGTAAACGCTTGGTTTTTCCTCCGCTTCATTATCAATCTTAAAAGTAACGAGTTGATTTTGTGGCATCATCCAGAGATGACCAGTGAGTTGTTTTGTTTTGTTTAATTATCATTATGAAGTTGTAGCTTTAAAACCATTTGGCTTGTTTTCAATCTGTTACAGTTGTAATTTTTCCTAATGTCCTAATGTGTCATCACTGGCAGCAGGAGCCTCCTCAAGTTGTTTCTGATTCCTTCTGACATGCCCTTGGTAGTCTTTAATAGCTTCCTTGCTATCTGGTATGACAGTGTGCAGGGTTACCCTGTATAACACATTCTCTGCCCAGACCTAGAGTTAATCAGCCACTTCTTGAAGGATAAATGGTATAGAAAGATAACAATCTGAGCAATCTACCTACCCCTTTCACAAACGAGGATGCTGAAGCTCTGTAAAATTAATGGATTCACTCAAGACTCTTTTAAACATGGTACTAATTTCAGACTTCTAATCCAGATATTTTTCCCCCTAACTCTTTAGCAAGTTAAGGCTCTGTTATAAAATTCAAGATATAAGGCATTGTATATTGTTTCTTGCTATTTATTTTGAGATTTCAGAATGCTATTTTAATATATTATCTTTAAATCCCCTAACGAGAGCACAATAAATACACATTTAGAATTAACATAAGGAAGTAATTTATCTTTCTTTTGAGAAATGTTATCTTTATGACCTAAATTTATAGCCTTTACCACATTTTGCCAAATAATTGGTACTTTAAAAATGGTTCAAAATCTGTATAAAAATTGCATTTAAAATCTTATATAGACTACCTAATGCCATGCAGTTTGTGCTTTGTAGTGTTTTTGTTTTTGAGACAAAGTCTTACTCTTTGCTTGGGCTAGAGTGCTGTGGTGTCAGCCTAGCTCACAACAACCTCAAACTCCTGGGCTCAGGGAATCCTTCTGTCTCAGCCTCCCGAGTAGCTGAGACTACAGGCATGTGCCACCATGCCTGGCTAATTTTTTCTGTATATTTTTAGTTGGCCAATTAATTTCTTTCTATTTTTAGTAGAGATGGGGTCTCCCTCTTGCTCAGGCTGGTTTTGAACTCCTGACCTCGAGCGATCTGCCTGCCTTGGCCTCCCAGAGTGCTAGGATTACAGGCGTGAGTCACGGCACCCGGCTGGTGCTTGGTAGTTTTTTGGTCATGCAGTCTATTTGTTAATAAATTACTTAGTAGCTAGTGAATTAACATTTTCAAGTAACATTATGTTAACAATCTACCAAGATATTGTATATTGTTTGTATTTACCCAGAAATAATACAAGTTCTTAAAACCAGAGTTCTTTAAACCACAGCATTTTACAGTATTTCTGTGGACAAGAAATTAATGTATTTTATAGGATATTTGGATCTTTAAAGTGGAACTTGCATGCTGGGAATGCTTTAGAAAGAAAGTATTTGCATAAATGTTATGTATCTAGCTAGTAATTTTGAACATTTATTCCAGTGTTGGAAGGTATATTTGCTTGAATAAGAACTTTTCTGACTCTTTGCTCCAAGCAGATACATAATGACACATAATCTTACATTCTTGATGGCAAATGTCTGCTGTTGGTGAAAGTGATTATTCATGTAAATATTTAATACTTTTGTTCTTCATAGTTGTGTTTCTCTCTTTAGACATAGTATAAGCACTGACTCTTTATATTTATTGAAATATTTTGTTCTCTTACAGTTATTTATAACAGTTAAATCATTTAACCTCGAATATACTTAAAAACTATATTTTGTTTTCTTTTTAGGAGGTACTGGCTACAATTAGGCTTCTTGACGTACTGTGTGAAATGACAGCTAATACTGAGCTGCTTGGCTATCTACAGGTTTTTCCTGGCTTGCTGGAAAGAGTGATTGGTGAGTGAAATATCACATACATATAGTATTTTTAGTTAAGAAATCTTTGGCTTGTCATACTGTACTATAAAACCCAAACACAAATCCTTAATTTTCAGTGTGCGATGTATTTTGGAGATTTTTTTTGAGTATTTTTTCTTGAGAGGAATCATGGTGGTGTGGTTCAGGCTTTGGGGCCAAACTTGAGTCCATGTCGTAGTTCTGCCACCTCCTTTCTGTTTAACTCAGCATTCCTTCTCTGTGAGAGGAGGATAATCATGCCTGTTGTGCAGGGTGCACGTGGTAGATGTTTTCATCAGTAGTAGTTGCGAGATGATGGTGATGATTTTGTATTACTGTAGCTTTACAAAATGTATCAGTAAATTTATCCCGGTTACATTTATTGAGCACATAGAATAGTGCCTTACGCATATTATGTATTCAATTCTTGTAAGAAAACTGTTTTAAACAAGAAGCCATTGTTTAAAGTATTACCAACCTTGCAAAAAGCTGTTAGCAAAATGATTCGAGTAGAACCTATTCCTTATGGATAGCCGTGCTTAGTTACTGCTATTCACTATTTATTATTTTTTTCTTTACAAAGATTATTCTTTGGAGACTCATATATTGAGGAAGATGACTTCGTATCTAGATGTATATATGAGCTAGTAGTGAGCTGTAGAAGAAGATACTTAGAATTTCTTATCAGTGTTTTATTTTGAATACAGTGCTTTTAGTGATAAGTAACAAAAAAACGCTTTGTGGAAAGAGCGTAAGTTTGGAGCCAGGCTAAATGTGGGTTGCCATCCCAACTCTGCCTAGTTACCAACTTCTCTGAGCCTTATTTCTTCATTATAAAATTAGGAAAGTGATATCTTCCTGTAATATGTTTGTTGAGAGAGTTAAATGAAATGCTGTGGAAACACTAAAATACAGTTCCTAGAAGATCTTCTGTTTTCATAGACTGCTTTGAGATATTCATAGAATTTAACAATGGGAAGCTGTTTCTTCTGAGTATAGCTAAAACAGATCTATGGAGAACACACATGACCTTCTGATTATCTGCCCAGTGAGGAATATAAAAGCACTCTTCTTGGTTTCTGTCATCATATGAGTCATTGTTAGGTAGGTATTGTATTTTAGACTTAGGTGACTGTAGTTATCAGATGAATTCTTTCATGAAGAAATTGAGGTTGGAAACATTTGTGTAAGAAAGGTACTAGAAAATTTTTAGCTAAATTTTCTTTGAGGATAAATAGAAATTCCAAGTCAGGTCATTTTTATGGCTTATCTGCCCCAAACTGGAGTCCAAAACAGTTAAAGCAAAGGCAGAAGAGCCTTCTAATCATTATTTAAAGAAACCTTTTGGTACTCTACCTTTATTTTGTTTTAATCTATTAAAATAAATTAGATTTATCTATAGAAAACGAGTACAAAATACTAAAAAGTATTTTTCTATAGAAAATGAAACTTACTCTTTTTGTTATAGACGTTTTACGATTGATTCATGTAGCTGGAAAAGATACCACAAACATCTTCAGTGCCTCTGCTTGCGTGAGAGCAGAAGGGGACATCTCAAATATGGCCGAGGGGTTCAAGTCTCATCTCATTCGCCTGCTTGGAAATCTGTGTTACAAGAATAAAGATAACCAAGACAAGGTAAGTTTATTTCTTAGTGTGTATCATACATACATGGCTACATTTAGAATGTAGTATTTAGAATTTAGAATATATTTATTTTTTGAAGCGAAAGCTTGAGGTGCTTAGAAATAGCTTGAAGAAGATATATATATATATATATATGTATTATATATGTAATATATTTAAAAATATACATATGAAATATGTTTTGTATTTATTTCATATGTTATATATATATATTTTCCCCACAGATAAACATAAAAATAATGTTATATTTGTTTGTATAAGAGTTTGTGTTTTTGTAGTTTTGTGTTGTCTTTGTCCTTAGTTGTGTTTGAGCCAGTCTGCTTTCTTGTAACTTGTCAATGTTTGTACTAAGCCTGTACATTTAAACACACTCCTATATCATGTAGAGAGCAGTCAATAAAAACATATATTTAGAGAACCAAGAAAACTTCCTAGCACACAGTAGTTTAATAAATATGTATTTTTAATAAATACGTTATATTGACCATTATCTTAAGAAGAAACAAACAAAAAGCCTTAACTTACATCTATATCCTGCGTTTATGGATGATAATTGCATAAGCCTTTTCTTATAAGTTTTGAAATAGACATGCAATGTAAGTATTAAGTCTTTGGAAAGTTGGTAGGCTGCTTTTTGAAACTTCTTTGTGCTGAACAGCTTAGAGGTCATTATGTTGAGAATGTGAGAGAGTGGTATAAAAAGATGGCGGGAGAACTGGACCACATGCCTCACACTGAAGTAGCCCTCCTGTGTCTTCCTGGAGTTTTACTTTGTGTGGTGTTCATTTTGCTTCATTAAATATTAAGTGTATAATATCTGTGGCAGATTATATTTTCCTAAGATGACAAAAAAATATCTGTCATTTTACCTGTATTTCTGCAATGTGACTTTGGCACTCCCCCATCAAGTGTTAGTGTCTATTTCTCCATCCCTTGAATTTGGGCAGGCCCTATGGCTGCTTTGAACAATAAAATTTGGCAGCAGTGATCCTGTACCATTTCTGGCAGAGCCTTTAACTGGTCTGGTAGATTCTATTTCCAGCTCTTTAGAAGTCATTCACCATATATGAAATGCGAATTCCCTGAGATCACCTTGCTCTGAGTTGCTGAGTCCACATGGAGAGGCCCTGGTTGATGAGATGCAGTGAAGAGAGAGAAAGAGACTAGTCAAGGAGTGTGCACAGAAAGTGCGCAAGTGTGCATAAGAAACTATCTTAGTAGTGGAACCAACCTCAGTTTCTTACTTGCTCAGCTGATGCCACATAGATCAGAGACACCCTGCCCAGCAACACCCTTTATGCATTCATGACCCATAGTATTGTGAGAAAAAGTGAAAAACTGAAAAAAAAAAAAAAGTTGCATATGTCCTGCCCCTATTAATAGTCTAGTAAGCTACTATTGGGCTGGTGCTCCTGCACATAGCAGTTATAAACTGGACAAAAGACAGCTATGGGAAGACACTCAAATTTGACACAAATAGGCAGATTCTGCGGACAAATTGACACTTGGGAGAAAGGAATGGCATAGTGTGCCATGTAGGGCAGCAAAAACCCTGATAGAAAATCTAAAGTCTTTCTAGCTTGATGAATCAAAGAATAGTTTAGGGGCCACTATAGCCATTGAAAAGTGACCAGGGCAATCCCAGAAAGGAGAATACAAGCCCCAAATTTAGCAACTACCTAAATCCCACTAATGCCTGAGCCACACGTGTACGGGCCAGGCTCCAAGCAGCTAAGCTAAGGATGAAACAATTGTACTGAGATTTGAGCTGCCACCCTAGAGTTTGTAGTTCAAGTTCACCTGAGATAATTGCCTATGCCAAAATATTAATATCAACAATCTTTAGAGGAATATTATAGAATCCAGAGTTTCCACAGTCATACCATTCACAATGTCTGGGATACAATCCAAAATGGCTTGACATACAGGAAAATGTGACCTGTTCTCAAAAGAAAAGGTAATCTCTGGAGACTGACTTTGAGATGACACAGATGTTGGGTTTAGCAGACAAGGATTTTTTTTTTTTTTTTTTGTTGCCCAGGCTAGAGTGAGTGCCGTGGCATCAGCCTGGCTCACAGCAACGTCAAACTCCTGGGCTCAAGGGATCCTCCTGCCTCAGCCTCCCGAGTAGCTGGGACTACAGGCATGCACCACCATGCCCGGCTAATTTTTTGTATATATTAGTTGGCCAATTAATTTCTTTCTATTTATAGTAGAGACGGGGTCTTGCTCTTGCTCAGGCTAGTTTCGAACTCCTGACCTCAAGCAATCCGCCCGCCTCGGCCTCCCAGAGAGCTAGGATTACAGGCGTGAGCCACCGCGCCCGGCCAGACAAGGATTTTAAAGTAACAAATGTAGCTATACTCAAGGATGTATAGGAAAATACGCTTCATAAATGAAAAGATAGGATATCTCAGCAGAGAAATAGCAACTATTAAAAAGAACCAAATGGAAATTCTAGAACTGGAAAATACAGTATCTAAAGTTAAAAAAAATTAACTGTGAATGTGTTTAACAAATCAAGAAAGATGATGGGAGAAAGAGCCAGCATGTTTGAAGGTATATCAGTAGAAATCATCTAGTCTGAAAAACAGAGGGGGAAGAAGATTGAAAATAAAGTGGACATTATAAGATGCTAAATTTTGGGGTAATTTGTTATGTAGAAATTGATAACTGCAATAATTCCTATGAGACAGGGCAAATAACTAAACGCCAGATAACTTGTACTTTTGTTATATTTGTGCATCATTTTAGCACTCCTCCTCATCTTCAAGCAGGTATGAGTGTAAGACTACCAATTCCCTCTTGGAAAATTACTGGACTGATTTTTGTAAAAGAAAGTTGACAATGAAACACTTTACCTTTTTAATGACCAAGACTGCCTTCTTGAGCACAAAAGAGGTGGCTTTTTTTGTGTTTATTCTTTTGTTGCTAATTTGGATTGGCCTCTTATAGGAACAAAATGTAGTAACCCTTAAAAGGCTTGTGAAATACCTCACTGAAGTCAGGATCAGATTGCACCATGAGTAAATACGGAGTGTGCCCAAGTGCTGCTGTGTGGAGGTCACTGGGGAGCACAGGAAGTCGGGGTATGCTCTGTCGCTTGGGCTGTTGCTAATAGCACTGCTGATTTCTGAACAAACACTCAAGAGGGTATGAAGGAGTTCATTCTTTGAATATCAACTCAAATGCCTCTGTTTCTCCCAGTTTCTTACCTGTGTCAACAAAAGGCCTGAACCTGAAAGCATTACCTCAGGGATTTTTTTCCCTCTTATCAAAGACTCTGATACAACACCAAAATCTTATTCTAGATTTGCTAGAACCTTCTTTCTTCTTGCAGCCAAATCCTTTGCCTTGCTCATTATTATTGCCTCAAAGGATGGAGTTCACTATCACTCAGGTGACTTTGATTATAGTTTTGGGGAAATGAATGCTTATGTAGCACATCTTTATCGTTGGACCATTAATCCTCATTGTGTTGTCTGGATGGGTTTTCCCACTCCTACCCAGACTGGGGCCTACGGGGAAATTTGGCTTCGTCTCTGCTCCAAGACTGAGAATCTGAATTGGGAATTTTGTATTGTCTAGTTTAATTTGGGTTTCATCCTTCACCCAGAAGGAAAATGAGACTTAGGATTTATTTTTTTAATATCTACTATGTCCCAGCATTGTGCTTAGTGAAATACATCAACTATAATCTCTCCATCAGCCTTGCAAAGCAGGTTCCGCTAACCACATTTTACGGAGAGGCCGTCCAGTTAGTGTGTGGCAGAGCCCAGAGTAGAATTTGGATTTGTTTGTGAGTTCCCAGGCCTTTGCTCACTCCCCTATACTACAGTGCCTCTCATTTGAGAGCTTTCGAAGAATTTGAAGGAGAAAGTTTAAAATAGGCTTCTTGAAGGATTTAAGGCCGTAAATTCTGGAGGCTGGTGAATGTGGGTTTCCTAGGCTGGCCAGGCCCTGTTACCCTCCTAGTTCAAGTCTGGTGCTCTGGGGACTTCTCTGTTTCTGATTCACCCATTCATCCAGTGTGAATGTTTCCAGCCTTGGGGATCGTTTGAAGGATGAGAGAGGTGAGACATCGCCTCCTGAGATGCTTTCCTTCTAGGAGTACCTGGGGACCATCCTTTCATCTTTGAACCCAGATCTCCAAATTATTCATGACACAAGTCTTCCTGTTTTTGTGTGCTGCCTGATTCTCTGAAGTTTGACCAGAGCCTTTTAATCCCACCTGGGTCTCTGTGTTGTCTGTGTAACTTTATTCATTGCAATGAGTGTAGAGCCCAGCCGCTGGGTGGCACCCCTTGCACTTGGCCCTTTCCATTTTGTAGAGTTCTTTTCATCTGCATTAGTTCCTTGGAGCCTTTTTGACCTCTCTCTGAAAAAGATTGAAAAGATATTATATATCATCATCATTTTCTAAATGAAGAAACCAAGGCCCAGAGAGACGAAGTGTGATTTAATTCAGCTGAATGAAAACTTAAGACAGTCACTTTTGAAGGGGGGATAATGCATGTACCCAAGTAGCTGTAATGAAAGTACGTGTGATGAGGCCTGTCAGAGAAGAACAGGTGAGTAATGGGGTCCTCTGGGCTGGCTGTGCCAGGAGCACAGTATTGATAGGAAGGGTGATCATCTGCCTTTGATATTCGGTGTCTTTGGGCAAGATTAAAGAGAGTCAGGGTGTCTGGCCTCAGAGTGAAAATCAGCTCAGACATATATGTTACTCAGTTTTCCCATGAGGCTTGAACTCTTAAGTCTATGCACATGATGGGTTGTAGTGTTTCCTGAATTGTAAATGCATCGCTAGACTTCCTTTCCCGAGTCATGGTAGAGAGGTGTTCTTAAATTCGTACTGACTTCTATTCTTACCTTGTTATTGTGCTCAACTTGCATAGTATTTCCTTGCTACAGCTGTAGTGATTAGTTTACTTCTAAACCTTTGTGGACCTAAATGTGGATTCTGTTTTGGTTTCTATTGTAGGAAGCAC